ATAGCTCTCCTCCGAGGCGAAAATCAGGGCCTTAGACATGCCATTATGCACGAAAGGAGGAAGCGTAAGCGTGGCAGACCCTTATTTGAAGAGCTACGTGCTGAATCGGGTTCCAAATCACAGTTCTACAGTCCTAAAAAGATCGAGCGAGCTCGTGAGCTCCAGCGAGAGAAGGATCAGGGTAAACGCGATGAGAAGGCACGGAAAGCATAGGCAAAACTGAATAAAGCACTTCAGAGGGCAGAGAATGATAGGCTACGAGCGGAACAAGTTGCTCAACGGGCACAGGACCGTTAGATTAGGGCGGCAGAAAGAGAGGTAGAGCTTGCTCGACGTAGGGCCATTCGACAGGCTGATCGTGAAGCAAGATCGGCACAGGCACAGCTTCTCCAAGAGTTAAAAACACCTCGAAACACCAGAAAACGAGCAAAAGAAGCCTCTCCACAGCAAATTGTACAGCCGCAGGTAATCAGCAGCGATGTGGAGGAGCTAGATAGCGATGGAGAGGAATCTGAAGGAATGGAGACTCAGACGCGGCGAGGTCGCATTTCCCGGCCACCATGATATCTTAAGGACTTCGATTTGGGCCCTAAATAAGCTTATAGTATCTCAGAATGTCATAACAACAATTTTTTCTAAATCTCTATTGTATATGGGCGCGAATGGCTGCAAAACTGAGTGCCCATCGCGAGCGCTTATGACGCGATGGACCGTGCAAGGAGTGGTGCCGTGCACGTTGTGGGGAAAACCCATACGGGTGTTACCCGTATGATACGATAAAGTTAGAGTAAGAAAACAGTTGTCAGTTGAGCTTGTATCATAACAAATTTTTATGACTTAGATACATCTTACCCTATAAAATACAGGTAAATCCGGAGTGGTTTACACTTTACAGGTTATTTAACGACAAGGCTGAGTGCTAGTACTCCTACACCAGCTGGAATTTGAAAGTTGATGTTCCAGTTCAATGATTTCATGACGTGGCCAAGGCCTCCTGAACTTAACTCTTCTAAATTTAGCACCTTCGACTCCACGTCCCACGAGCCGCGCCGTGTTTAGGAATTCAAACTTTCCCAAGCATTTCTCTAGTTAACACTAGGACCGCGGAAGTTTTAGATCGAAAAGACAACCAGGCCAAGGCAGGTTTGAGCTTACTACGTTGCAGAATCATACCCCAAGTTTTGTGCACTACTGCCTGGCGCAGCAATCCGCTTCTCTCTCGGCGTTGCAACGCTCTAAAGACTTCAAAGTCCGAAGTCCAAGTCCATCAGAAGTCAGAACCGAAGCACCGCGTTGAAATCGTCCCTCTATAACGTCAAAGATCCTTCCAATCATCCCCTCCATATCTCCCCGCACCGCTTGGTAGACGTTTGCAATGCAAGATGGTGGAGGAGGCCAGTCCAAACCGGGCCTACTAATACGTAGGAAGCCTTGGACAGTGGCTGGCCGCCTGGCCTAGCTAACAACGCGTTATGATCAACGAAAGCACGCTAGCGCCGCAGCGCCCCAATCCTGGGGGCATTACGGCCGTCTCTGAACCTCCGTTGGAGTTTGAACCTGGCAATCCTCCCGCGGGTCATTCGGTTATTCTGTCTTTATGTAAATGACTTTCATGCGGTAGCTGGTATTACTTATTCTTTTCGTATCGATTGATTTGACGCATTGGTCTGGCTACGGTGCTAGGCTACCATTTCATCGATTGAGGTGCCTTGTTGTTATACAGACCGAAGAGAATGGCCTGAGCGTGTAGCCTTTATCGCGTATCGCAGTTGGACTTCGGGGAACCATTTCGTCAAGATGCCGCCGAGATATAGGCACGACAATACGCCATGGATGAAGAGCGTCTTGATCCCCCTCTGGATTGTCAAGAATATCGTCAGGATCATCATGATCGGTATCTATGCGGTCGCCTTTGGAGCCGTGGACCATTATACGCACACCAGGATCTACGACGTAGCGTGAGTCTAGCTCTAGAAACATCAAACGGCATGAGTCTCAATCTAACATTTGAACAGCGTCCTTTCAATCCATATCGCCCTATGCGCAATCTCCGTGGTCCTCGACATCACGTCCTTAGTGCTCTTCGCGAGACAAATGCTAAGCCCGAAGGTCTTCCTTGTTTTCAGCATCGTTCAGGCCCTGATCTGGGTCGGCAGCTATATTCTTAACATCTTCCTTGCTCTTCGGGACGCCACTGCTGCCGCCATTGCCTTGACCATCGTTCTTTGGTAAGACTCTCTTGGGGTCATCCGTTTTGAACCGACTTTTTCACGTACTAATCCTGCCTTTCTAGCCCCGCCTACGTCGGTGCCCTCTTCTACGCCTCCACCGTTTTCTACAGGTACCGCAAAGCCGGCAGCCGCGGCGCCTACACTTCCGTCGCCAACCCCACAAACCTCCAATACCAAGCAACCAGCTTCGCACCCCAACAAGTCCTCTACGAAATGAACCCACAACAACAAATCTACCAGCAGCCGCAGTACGGCGCCGGATCGGAGTACTACGCCCAGCACATGCCGCAGCAGGTGCCACAGGAGATGCCGCCGCCATACCACGACCACTCGCAGGAGCAGAGGGGGATGCCGCCGCAGGGGAATCTGATCCCAGTGGTGACCAACCTATTCGGAGACGCCCACTCGTCGTTGAATCCCGCGGGCACGCCGCGGCTGAAGAACTCAAGCCCGACAACGGTGGAGTTGGAGTCGCCGCGGCAGTGGAAGGCACTAGAGGGGGCAGCTCCGCCGTATGTGCTGCAGGCGCCGGAGCAAGAGTTTGCGGCGGGCAAGTGATGTTCGGTTGGGATGTCAAGTTTGGTTCTGGTACATGATATGGCGTTATGTTATACTGTATATATCCGTGGGTATCGGTTCTGGGCAGGGGAGATCATATACCATTAGATGTCTAGAGATCTGGCATATCCGGATGGACTTGGATTGTTCATCATTCACTGTAGCTCTCGTTAGGGCATGGCGACATAGATAGTTGACTAAGATAACCGTTGGTTCCTATTTTCTGCCTCTCTGAAATCCTGCTTAGCCCCCCTACCTCCTTCCCGGCTCTCATTCAAGCTCAAGTTTTCCGTCGCCCGGGACATCAGCGTCCCCGACTCTTCTGCTCCGCCTTCCTTTCTATATCCCTCGCCTCCTCTTCCGCGATCTCGTCAACATGTTTATTCTGCTTCCTCCTGAAGCTCCTCTCGCTTGGTCTCGACAACTGAGATATCTTCAAATCCGATCCGTTGAAACATCTTCCCAGTTAAGTACCGGTAGGCAATGTGGCCCGTAACCATATCGCTGACATCTACGTTCTCGACGGGCCCCGGAGCTTTCATAGCTACTTCACATTATGAAGCCTATCTTCTACTGACGTCGCTGTCTCTTGCGGGGGCTAAGTCCTTTCCAAGCATTTGAAGCCGTCTCTGCTGCAGCACGCTTAGGACGCTCTCTGCGCACACCCTGAGACTCAAAAAAGGTATTTTGAGCATCGACTTGTGCAAATTTTTCATCGTAGAAGGCTTTCATATCTCCAAAGTGATAATTCCATGCCATTGTTGGAGTGCAGGAAGCATACACTCCGCTTGTAGCGAGAGCCATATTTCGTGCTTCAATCAGTTCTGTCGGGTCCCTTTCCTGCCCTGTCTCCGCCAAAACATTGGCCACTCTGTTAGAGTTACTGTAGTTATGTAGAGTGGGCTGAAGCCGGCGACGCTCGATGTCGCCAAAGAACTCTTCCAACGACGGAGGTTGCCAAGCAGACTGTAGAGGGGGTTGAGCCGTAGTAGTAGACACAGAAACAGAGACAGGTGATGATAAATGAGATGGAGTAGGGGAAGCTATAGGGGTAGGTGCAGGGATCGACATAGATATAGAAGTAGTTGTAGGATTCGTAGCTGGTGCAGTTGTAGAAACTGACACCGTAATGGCTGTGCTTGTGTGTCGTAAGATCTCAGCAAGCGTTTGACCCTGGGGTTGAGGAGGAGGCTGAAATTGAGGGATAGAAGGTCGCACATGTTGTTCAAAGCCTGATGGATCTCTACGGGTTGATGCCTCATTCCTCCTCGGCGTACCTCTTGTTTCAGCAGGAAGCGACTCGATGATAGACCGGTATGGCCTTGGAGATAGACGTATTGACTGTCCTTGCTCACGTTGATAGCGCCAATGATTGTCGTAAAGGAAATTTAATCGTAATGTCGATCCAGAATTCCTCATATCTTGTAGCGTATGACGACACGGAAGACCATTCGTCTTCTCAAAAAGGCCAGAACAAGGGTGCCAGTTACGACGTTGTCTTTGCTCGTTCTGGAGCAGCAGATCCTGCTGCCGGATGCGCGCAATAGCCGGTGGCGTGAGGACGTCATAAATCCTGGGAGGTAGGTATGGCATTGACTCCGGTTTGTGCTCAGATTTGGCGCGCTGTATCGAGGAGATAAGGTCCATCCTGTATTTGCTGTATTGACTGTCGATCACCCGCTCAATCCTTTGAACAACTTGTATTAAGTCGCCTCTCGAAGTCATGAGATAGTCCTTTAAAACCTTGTGCATTCCTCCAACAGGAGAAGTAGTAATTGCGTTGTAATGTCGGTGATAAGACGTCCATGCAGCTGCCCACTCGGTGCGCGTGTGGTATTGATTTTCGCATAGATATGTGCAAAGTTCTCGTTGGTCAGCATAGTCTTTCAGTAGTTCGTCCCACTTGAATTGGAACTCAAGTGGTCCCTTGACGTAGACAAGCTGTTCTAGTTAGGTCTATTGTATCTTGTTTATAGTCAGAGCTGGAGCATACCTGGGTCCAACGCTTCATAAATTTAGCCCGTTTATCGGCGATTTCCTGCTTCTCCTCTCTTGTTACTCCATCAGCGCTTCGCCAGACCTGTTGAGTCTTTGTCTGTACATCCTTGTTGATATGCCATACGCATAGGAGTTGTGGGATCCTCGGAAACAGAGTGTAGGCTGCCAACTTCAACGCATCCACCTGGTCGCTAATGAACACCCGTGGTTGTAGTGCTCCCGTCTTAAGGAGGAAGTTTGAGATTGCCCAATGGTAGTCTGCTTGTGTCTCACTGCGGAGGAAGCAGAAGCCTGCAGAGAAGAACGTCTGTAGATTGGTGCAGCCGAGTATGTGCAACAGTGGGAGTTTGTACTTGTTGGTTCGGTACGTACAGTCCATCAACAGGACATCGGGATTCGCAAGCAGCAGCTCGATCTGCTTCTGGTGGGCAAAGAAGAGACCTTGCACGTGATGATCTGCATCCTTCTTGACAGCGAAGACCCATTCCGGCGTGGACAGGTTATCTAGCAATGTCTCAATCGGACTCCTCCCATTTAAGTGCTTCTCTCTGATTGCCTTCCTCTCGCTGCGAATATCGGTGGCAGAGACTAGCGTGTCCGGATCCTCCTTTTGAATGGCAGCCATTATCTGCATCGGCCGTACCCCGGCACGTGTCATTGATTCAATTGTGTCTTTCTGCGCCGATGTCCGCCTGCGATAGACATTATGCGCGCTAGGGTTAAGTGATCGGGGGTGGTTGTGATGCTTGTGTATAACCTCCAGCTTCCACTGGTCGTCGTTTTTGTTCTTGAATATGACAAGCCTAAAAGTACACCCTATTGAGCGCGTGCTTGTGCTCAAAATCTTTGCCCTTGACTGATAGTTTCCGGATCGATCACAGTAGTAGTAATATCGCGTCTTTTCATCAGAATGGTGAGGTTTGCTCCGTTTGAGTTGGAAGCCGTAGCCATGCTGCATGCCATGGCTTCTGAGAGCATTGTAAGCTTCTTCATAGGACTCGTAAAGATAATCTGGAGGAGGGGCGATATCCTCCATGCTGAGATCTATGAGAGAAAGAACAAATTAGGTGTTGAAGTTGTTCTAAGTTAGTTAGTTAACAGGGAAAGAACAAGTTAATTAAGGAAGTGGAACTAGGTATGCGCTAGACCAAATTAAGCATTTAATTTCCACTAATTATGGCTAGCGCAGGGGGATAATCTCATGGGGGGAGAAAATCTCAAAATCGGGGGAAAATATCACTAGCCTTAAATATTACAAATATAATTCAGTTGAACTGTTTCAGATAGTTCCTGGACTGGTAGCACGCCCACCGCCCTTTTCGGATGGGTTTTCCGCCACAATCTCATGTCCCAAACTCCCAATGCCAGGAATGGAGAACTAAGGGCATACCAAAGACCTTCCAAGTTCTCAGAGGAATACTCTGAGAATGCTATCCTAGATCATTGATCGAGGCCCTTCAGACTGATATTACCTGAACGGCTGACCACAGAGATGGATACTGCACGGCCTGCAGCAGGACATGATGCGGTCTGCGTGCTCCTGCCTGTTGTTGTTAACAGCTGGTAACTACGGCATCCTTTAATTACTAGTTAACTAATATGGATTGGGGGACTCAACCGACCTATTTTAATCTCGATCATCTGGATGTCAGCCCTCTAGCTCAACGTCATTATCAGACTAAGGCTACCCCTTTAAAACTTTTGAATGTCCCCAAACCAACGGAGGATGTGACCTTGTCCTTTCCATGGGAATTTCAGATTTGCGAGGACTCCGTCTTGGCTTGAATGGATAGACCTAGCTTCGCACGTCAGTTTTGTTTGGACCATCCAGTCAATCCTTCGCTAGAGAGAAATCGGTGGCATTTCCCAGGGCCAGACACTTCTTGAAAAGACCAGGTAAGAATGTCGAGCTGTTGCAAGCATCTTCCCGAATATGCTAGGCATGTGTTTGCTGCTCATGTGTTAAGTGCTAGTAATCGACCATGATTTTGGGTAGGAAAAGCAGATAGAATCAACGAGATAGAGCGATTGATTTGGTTTGTCCTAGTACTTTGTCCTTTGGTAAGAAAAGACAATTTCTCTCACACTGAAGTAAATTTCTTTCGCTATATCCAAAGTCGCCAACTTTTTGAGTCGATCCTCCAACTTTGATCTTCTAGTCTTGAACACCTCCATCTCCTTCCTGAATACCCCTGGTATGGAGGAAACGGCTTTCACAGAGCCGCAAGCGGGCCCCCCTGTACTTCTGCAGAACAGTGAACACCGTGACCTTCTTGATATCGTCGACAAGCTTCGCTCTACAGGCATAGGCCGCTTCATTGATCTGCCTCAAATCATCATATGTGGCGATCAGTCCTCTGGGAAGAGTTCCACCCTGGAAGCCATTTCAGGCATGTCTTTCCCGACAAAGGACACTCTCTGTACCCGATTCGCAACGGAACTTATTCTTCGCCGAAGTACTACGGTCGGTGTCAAAGTTTGCATCATCCCGAGTCCTGAACGGTCCGAGATAGAGAAGGAAGAGATAGGGAAGTTTTCTGTCGCCCTGAAAGACCTGGATATCGGTCATGTCATCGAAAGCGCAAAGGCCGTGATGGGAGTAAATGGCACTGAAAAGGTCTTCAGTTCCGACATCCTCCGGGTCGAAATTTCAGGACCGGAGCAGCCTCATTTGACACTGGTGGATCTCCCAGGACTGTTTTCTGCTGCGAACAAGGATCAGTCTGACGAGGACGCAAAAATGGTTGAATCTCTTGTGATGTCGTACATGGAGAAGCCTCGAAGCGTTATTTGCGCGGTGGTGTCCGCTAAAAACGAGTTCGCGCTTCAATCTGTTACCCGACTTGCTCGCAAAGTTGATCCAAACGGCCAACGTACACTTGGCCTCATCACAAAACCAGACACACTGGATGAAGGTTCAGAAAGCGAACAGTACTATGTCCATCTCGCCCAGAACAAGGATGTTACGTTCCGCCTTGGATGGCATGTCTTGAAGAATAGGGACTTCAACTCTCGGAATGCCACTACCGCAGAACGAGACAGGTCTGAGGCCAATTTTTTTTCCCGAGGCGTCTGGACTTCTCTGGCACCATCTCAACGTGGAAAGGATGCCCTTCTGGTCCGGCTCGGCGCGATTCTCCGAAATCTTATCCTTCAGCAGCTTCCTAGCGTTCTGGAAGATGTCGAAATCGAAGCGAAACAATGCCAAGATACACTGGACAAACTGGGTGTAGGACGAGAAACACTAGCTGATCAGCGGCGTTATCTGCTCAACATCGGCCAACGTTTCTACAACCTGATCAAGGCTATTGTAGACGGAGTGTACACCGATCCATTCCTTTCAGACGTCACAGCTCAGGGCGTATACGAAAGGCGCCTTCGCGCAGTGGTGCAAAACGCATTGTCGGACTTTTCGGAGGAGATGTACTCGGAAGGCCATTCTCAAACCATTGTCGAGAACACATCCCCCGATAAGCCACGCGAAATATCCCGCGATGACTATATCGACGAGGTACAGATACTCATGAGAAAGAGCAGAGGTCGCGAACTGCCTGGCACATTCAATCCCCTGGTCGTTGAGGAACTCTTCTCAAAGCAATGCAAGCCATGGAGGGCCTTGATTTACAAGCTTGTTGGTCGGATCTTCGAGGCAGCGTTCTCCGCAGTGAGCGTTACCCTGAAGCATATCACCGACATACATACTGCGGAAAAGCTTCTCACAAGGATAATCAACCCATCATTCGATGGCCTGAAGAACGAGTTGAATACGAAAGTGGACGAGATTTTGGACCCTCACCTTTGTGGTCATCCGACTACGTACAACCACTACCTGATCGACACTGTCCAAAAGGTTCAGGCTGAGCGTCGCACAGCGGCGTTGGAGAAACGGCTTTCGGCTTATTTCAACGACAGCGGAGCATTCCATAAGCATGGAATAGAATACTATCATGTCAATATAAAAAGTTTAGTCCAAATGCTCTCCGATCACACGGAGGTGAACATGGATAAATTCTCTTGCTCTCTTGCTACTGATATGATGGAAGCGTACTACAAAGTAATGTATAACACTTGCACAATTGAACTCGCACTAAACTTGAGTAGGTTGCTCGCAAAACAGTTGTCGACGAAGTCAGCGTTCTTGCAATTGAGCGATGCCTTCTGCAGAAGTTGCCTGAGTTGATATCTGCTCACATCATTTGCGACATGGACGATGATGAGATACAACATATTGCTTCCGAGAACCAAGATTCCGCACAAGAAAGGGCACGTGCGACCACGAAACTTGGGATCCTCGAGTCGGGTCTCATCGAGTTGAAGCGTGTGAACAAGTACCACGTTGCGGGAAACCAGTTATTGCGTGATCGGTCTGCTTTTCACTTCTTGGAGAAGACAAGCACGCAGTCCGCTTTGAAAGGGAAAGAGGAAACTCCTTCCCTTCAAGAATGTGAGAGTCCTAACCTCTGTTCACCCTCTCGAGCTATATCGGAGCAGGAGCGTGATTAAATTTTTTTCACGATAAAACCCAAGAAGAGATAGAAGATGGGAACGAAGACAACAGGAAAATTCGCTTTCCTGGATGACGATGAGACTCCTTGATGATGCTGTAGTCATTCAATTGTGAGACACTGGTCTTGCATTGTGAGTGTATGGAGCCCCTTTCTCTTCAGCGGCTCGCTGAAGCATCGAGATTTGAACGTTTATCGATTTCGTTGATTTGAAGGGCATCCTGTGCATAATTAGCTAGCAATCTAGCATTATCATCTTCGTTATGGTACAACAATCTAGTTTATGCTTTGCCAGTGCAGAAAACGCTGCTGTGAATTCTAATCGTGGCCAGATATTCCATTTGCAGGTGGATGGGTGATGTGTCTGGAGACTCCTTGTTGCCTTGTATCCTTAGAACCACTCCAGCTCCAGCTCCTGCTCCTACCGTGATCCTCTAATACCGAAATTGAACCTCAACCTCTGTAACTGAATGTTAGACATCGAAACTCGTGATAAGGGTCTCGGCTCTTGATGATGAGAATCTCATAGTTTGCCATCAGTCTTCAAGCTTGGCGTTTGCATTGGCGTTGGTAGCATCATCATGATGCCCCTCCTTGTTCGGAGGCACGAAAATGGTCAGCTCACCCTTAACCAACCACCTCAGTTATATTACAACCTGGATCTACACTTGGTACAACGTGCAGAACAGAATCAAATGCTTGATTTATCCTTCAAGGTACCATAGGTTCTACAAGCATGCTTGTCTCAATTCGATTTCGTTGCTGAAGTAGTCGTTGACGTTGATCACTCCACCTCAGCAGCTTCATGTCCAAGTCCATACTACCGGCACCGTATACATTATGACACGCTGACGGCCGTTTCAGCCTCTCCTCCAGAACCGGCGCTTTCCATTAACTTCAGCGCAAGTCCATTCGCTGTATACGGGAGCACGCAATGGCGCCTTCGATCATTCGCCTTCCGAATGGACGGTCTCTCACCGTAGACACTGTTTTTGGTGGTCTATACTTCAAATACCACGAGTTCTCCAACCACGTCGACCCCCCCTCCCTCCTCCCACGTGGCTGGACCGTCGTCCTCAACTCTGCTGATGAAGAGGTCCCAAAATCCGAATTCGAATCAATAGACCCAGAAAGCGAAGAACACGACCCGGAACGGCAGCCGATCCGGTCGACTCAATCCTACAGCCACGACGAGTCCATGCGACCGCGTCCTCGCACGACACTACACCGCTTCAAACGCCCATCCCTCCGCAATGACCATCTCTACATCTCGGGGATTTCACACCCGAGCAACGAAGAGTCCCAACCGACGCAATCGCCGACGCGGCGGATCGCCATGTTGCTGTGGTGTACGCTCCTATGGTACTTCCAGCAGCCTCCGCCAGATCCGTGGATGAAGACAGCGGAGTCGACGAATACACCGGATCAGGGGAAGCCGAGAGGGGATTGGCGGATTAACATCAATCAGGAAGGAATTCTCAAAGGGGGCAGGACCTTGCAGAAGTTGGAGCGTATGGGGCTGATAGCGAGCGAGGACAGCTGTGTGGGCGCGGAAACGGACGAACGGTCTGGGGAAGGGTGGATGGACATGTTCGTCAGCCAGCGGTCGTTCTGGCAGATCGATCCACGGATCTTCCTCTTCAGTCTATTACCGATATCGGCCTTGCCGATTCCTTCGGGCACGCCACATACCTCTCGCCCAAGCTCCCCAGGCCGGCATTCGGATGCAGTACTCGATACTGGCATGGTTCATGGGTTATGGTCTTCGAGCACGCCTGATCCATTCCATTCAACCAGCCATCTCCCTACCTTTTACCCTCCCGTACCTCCGCAATACATCTTCACCAACGGCGTCCGACACCCTATCCGCCCGAAACCACCACGCCAAGGGGAGACTGTCTATATCCGGTTTGTCCCTAGTGTCGGTCAATTTCTCTCCTTCCGCGTCGCCAGTTCCTCCCGCAAATCCCCGGCATTCGAAGGTCCCAGGGCCATGAGCATCGACTCCCGCGTTACAACAAGCACGATGTCTGACACCGTGGTGCCCTCCTTCCAAAACCTTGATATCTCCCCTTGTGACCCCGATCTCCTCCATCAATGGATGAACAACCCCCGCATTAGCTACTACTGGGGCTGCCAAGGGCCGCAAGAAATCCAAGACAAATTCCTCAGGAGCGCACTCAAGAGCCGCCACAGTTTCCCGTCGATCGGGTGTTGGGATGGACGACCGTTTGGTTACTTCGAGATATACTGGGTCAAGGAGGATAGCTTGGGGAAACATTTAGGTGGGGGAGTGGGGAACTATGATAGAGGGATCCATTGTTTGGTGGGGGAACAGGAGTTCAGAGGGCCGCAGAGGGTGAAGTTGTGGCTGACAGCGTTGGTACATCATTGTTGGATATCGGATAATCGGACGGAGGTAGTGGTGATGGAACCGAGAGTGGACAACAAGAAGTGAGTACCCAATCGATTGCATTCGAATCACAGACTTGCTGATTAGGAACCTCAGACTCGAGCAATATTGCCTGGAGGTTGGATTTTTCAAGGAGCAGGAGGTGACTCTCCCGCACAAGCAGTCATACTTGTTGAAGATTCGGAGAGATACTTGGGTTGCGCCGGAAATATAATACCAGGTATAGGCATATGTATTGGGCAAATTGACTGCCAGCAGGCAGTATACATATTTACCGTGGAAGCAAGTAAATAATGCAAGAAATTACGAATACTTCTCCAACTTTCTCTCGCTCCTATGATCCTGCATATCGAGTTTTGAGAACATAAGCCCCTCTCATTCCATTCCCATCCTCTTGTCTCATCACCAGCACTTCCCAATCACACTAACAATGCTTTGACGCCCAATGGAAGCCCCCACGACCCTAAAGCAGGCGCCTCGTGCCCAAAAAATCCGGGGCATCCAATCGCTGCCGGCATCCTGCAGACCTGCACGTTCCTTGGCCGTTCTCAGGTCGTTGGAATGCCAGTCACTGCGATTCTCCGGATCACACAGCATGCATTTAGGTGGTAACGACCATGTGCGGCGCATGCGGTAGGAGCCTGGAACGGTGATTATCGGAAAGGCTATGCGGAGAGGTGATGCGCGTTGAGGATGGGCTCGGAGTGCCCCTCCTTAATGTCGTCGTTCAGGTCAACCCTGGAATCTCGGGCGAGAATCGGGGGCAGATGGCGCATTCATATCAGCATAGCCTGGAAGTTGATGAGCACGAACTTCCTCCAACCTTTGCAATTGAGTCCAATTTTGCGCATATCAAAGACCCAAAGTATTTCGGTTTTGTTTAGTACCTTTTTGTCAATATCTCTTATCAGCGAAAGGTTGATACTATCACTCGACCTTGATACTTGCCCCGCCATCATGGCAGCGTTGCAGAACAAGCTCGCCGAATTGGCAAAGTATTCTGCCTGTGATGTATGTGGTTTCTTCCATAATTGCGGCTGCTTGTGATACCAAGTCTTGATTCATAATGGATTGCGCCCTGCGTGCGCTTGTAGCTAATCGCTATCTTAACACCAGGTCTGCGACGCCCTCCTAAAGCTCCAAGTGGTCGGCGCAGGCTACCTCCCCGATATCAGTACGTCACCCTCCTATCCTCCACCTAATACCAATTAACCATCCCTTCGCAGCCCCCATTTCTCCATCCACCCCCCACCCCCCCACCCGAACCGTCGCCCCCGCCAGCACCGTCCTCCTCGTCCCCAAATCCTCTCCCTCCTTCCCCTCTCCCTCCCCGCTCACCTCCCTTCTGGACCAAACGCTCTCGCTTTCCCTCCCGACCATCCCGCAAGGTACCCCATACGCGGACCTGACGAATGCCGGATCGATCGTCGTCATCAGCCAGCCGGGCGGGCAGAAGTGTGCGGTTCTCGGCGGGATCATGGCGGCGCGGATGAGGAAACTTGGGGCGGCGGGGGCGTTGGTGGATGGGAGGGTGAGGGATTTGGGGGTTTTAGGGTCGCTGGGGATGCCGGTGAGTTAGGGAAAGTGCTATGAGCGAGTGTAGAAGCTGATGTGTTGGTGTGGGACAGGTCTGGTCGAAAGCGACGTCGTCGATAGGCATGGCGGCGGAGGCGAAGGCGTGGGCGACGGACGTCACGGTGCATATTGGAGGCGTGGATGTTTCTCCGGTACGGGCACCATGATCGCCGACTTCTGTTGTCTTGTCGTTTGCTGACGTACGTAGGGTGACTTGATCATGCTCGACCCGGAAGAGAACGCCGCGGTTGCGATCCCAGCGGGGAGGCTGGATGAAGTGCTGGAGCTCATTCCAAAATTGGTGGCGGCGGATGAGAAGGTCATGAAGGATGTGGAAGAGGGAGTGGAGGTGAAGGAGGCTTTTGCAAGACATAGATCTTGATCTTGAGATGATGCATGATAACGATTGTTTGGACTTCAGCTTGTTCATTTGGAATGACGATCGGTATAAAGCGCAAGTGAAATACTAGCTTATTAGCTTCGTCGTCGTATCGACACAGTAACATGTTTCAAGAAGAATCATCAGTGTTTTGATTTGTGATTACTGATGTTCAAGAGGCTGCACTGACACCCAGTTGCGGGGATCGTCCAGCAGAGAACCAACCCAAGTGATCAAGAAGCTAATCCGTAGTGATTCGACCGTCGTGATCCACGAAAACTCCTCGATGAGCCCCCCGCACTCTTTACAAGCATCGTCCTCATCTCCGCCAATCGCTTCAGGGAGAGGGACTTCTTTCTCAACCACTTCCTCCAGCTCCACGACCCATTCATCATGGAACCCAACCTCCTTCATAGACGCCTCCACGACGTCCATCATGGCCATCGCCGTTTTCTGCGCCTTCTCCATCCTCGCCCCCTCGCCTCTTAGTATCGGCTTGATGTATCTATCCCAGTCTAGCCGCCCGCTGGTGATATAATACCAGAACCCCACAGCAATCTCGTCGTGGATCGTGACCATGAGTTCCATTTCACGGTTTCCACCGCCGCCCTCACCAAATCCTTCACGATGCTTGTCGTGGTGACCCCGTGTCTCATCGCCACCGCTCCCCCGTCGAATCCGACCAGCGTGCGCTGCCGCCGAGATAGAGGATGGCGGACATGGCGTTGTGGAGGTGCAGGCGGTGGACGATTATGTTGATGGAAGTGGCCTCGAAGTGTGAGAACTTGATGGTTCCCTCACGCACAAGTGGGATATGCCAGGGTACACGTCTTGGGCCTGCTGGAGCCATGCTAGCATCCACTTCCGGGTGACGTCCACGTGGTCTTTGCATTAGTTGAGGGTGACGACGAGGGCTTCGATCCGGCGGTGAAAATCGCCATTTCGGATGATGGCAGCGAGAAGATGTTGCTCGAAGGTTGGGATGACAGGATTTGCTCGCCTGATATTAGGTTAGCATGTGCGGAAGAAATGCATGGAAACTAGCATTGACCTTCATCATTGACTACCATCGAAGGCCCATTTGCCGTGGCATCGTCTCTGGTAGTGTCCTGCATGGAGGCACGATATTTGTCTTTTCTCGTATTGGATATACGCCAGATCTTTCGGCGCGCCTTCGGATTCTCCGCTGAAAATATACCACCTGTTCTCCCCAAACGTCCACTCGGCGAATCCCCCGGTGTCATCATCAAACACAGATCTACCACGATTCGCTCGACTCCTTTGAAGTTTACCGTCTCTTTGGGAATCGAAGGACCAATATGTTGGTTGAGGAATCATGGATTGATTCAGCTCTTTTTCCTCCAAATCATGAGATCAATCCACCTGGCGGGATTAGCAATATGATCATAGTGCTAGATAAGAAATGTTCTGCCGACAGAAGCAAGGTAACCACTGGAATCATTACTTGTCAGGTCCCTGCCCGGTTAGAGTACTCCCCTAGCAGTGAGCTACGTTGTTAACTCGTGATGTACATTAGAGGCCCATGATAGAAATTCGGGAAGGCCAAGGCGGCCCTTTTTGCACTCCAAGAGCTGGAAAGGACCGCAATGCCATCTTCTGAGATATCAGATATGACTTGTGAGAGACTCTGGGCCTGAACGGAGCTCTTGGGTTCACATCTTCGCAAGGATAAGAGCGTAGTCGAGCTCATAGAGCCGCAAATCTTGATACATAATAGGTGAGAAGCTCGGGAGTCGGGACTATATACTCTCTGCATTGGACTCAACGCTCAATTTGCATGTCGAAGAACCTATGGTTGATGTCTTGATGATGAGGAAGTTGAAATGAAGTTACTGGGATGAGGTTACCATGGATAGACTGTCAGCCAATCATCACGCGTCATTGACAGCTTGTGTAAGAGGAAAGAACGGAAGAACTTCGGGCCAATCAAAAGGCTATTCCAACGCCATCGTCACTTCACCACTCTCAAAACCCCTCGGATACTGGATACTTCAATTCCTCTTCACCCTCATCGTCCTCGATCCTCCCATACTCGCTCCGCTCGGGGCAAGCTCGATGACAATGATTGCACGCCAAGTGTCATCGCCCGCGGCGCTATCTCAAGCATCCCATCGGGTCGCCCGCGCTGCCACAACCATCCCGAGCTGCTCAGCACCACGACAACAGCGTCGAAGTCTAGCCACTGTGCAGGATGCGAACCCGGTGCGGCATTATGGCGGCCTGAAGGATCAGGATCGGATATTTCAAAACCTGTACGGACACCATGGCGCGGATTTGAAGTCGGCGATGAAGTATGGGGATTGGCACAAGACGAAGGAGATAGTATTAAAGGGACATGACTGGGTGCGTTCCAAGCTCGGTGCCATTGAGCTATCTTAGAGGAAGGAAATATCTGACATTTTATATGTAGATCATCTCGGAGATCAAAGCTTCTGGACTTCGAGGTCGAGGTGGTGCCGGATTCCCTTCCGGCTTGAAATGGGTACGTCCGTCCTGAACCAGGCATTGATCCATACTGACACGGCTAGTCTTTCATGAACTTCAAAGATTGGGATAAGGACACCAAACCTCGATATCTCGTCGTCAATGCGGACGAGGGCGAGCCAGGAACCTGCAAAGACCGCGAGATCATGCGAAAGGACCCACATAAACTCATCGAAGGATGCTTAGTGGCAGGCCGTGCTATGAACTGCACCGCAGCATACATCTACATTCGCGGCGAATTCTACCACGAGGCCACCGTCCTTCAACGAGCCATCCAAGAAGCCTACCAGGCCGGGCTGATCGGAAAGAATGCCTGCGGTTCCGGCTACGACTTCGACGTTTTCATCCACAGGGGGATGGGCGCCTACGTCTGCGGTGAAGAGACCTCGCTCATCGAGTCCCTTGAGGGCAAGCCAGGCAAGCCGCGTCTCAAGCCTCCGTTCCCTGCGTCTGTTGGTCTCTTCGGCTGCCCGTCAACCGTCGCCAATGTCGAAACCATCGCCGTTGCACCAACAATCTGCCGCCGCGGTGGTAACTGGTTTGCATCCTTCGGTCGCGAGCGTAACGCCGGTACCAAGCTGTTCTGCATCTCTGGCCACGTCAACAATCCCTGCACCGTCGAAGAAGAGATGAGCATCCCTCTCCGAGAGCTCCTGGAGAAGCATTGCGGCGGCGTCCGCGGCGGCTGGGATAACCTCAAAGCTGTTATCCCGGGCGGCTCCTCCACTCCGATCCTCCCCGCACATCTGTGCGGCGACCAGCTTATGGACTTCGACGCGTTGAAAGATGCGCAATCGGGTCTCGGCACCGCGGCTGTCATCGTCATGGACAAGTCTACCGACGTCGTCCGCAGCATCTCCCGGCTCGCCAAGTTCTACCACCACGAATCGTGCGGCCAATGCACGCCGTGCCGCGAGGGCTCGGCGTGGACCGACCAGATCATGAAGCGGTTCGAGAAGGGCCTGGCCCGTGAGCGGGAGATCGACATGCTGCAGGAGCTGACGAAGCAGGTGGAGGGCCATTCGATCTGCGCGTTGGGCGAGGCGTTCGCGTGGCCGTTGCAGGGGTTGATCCGGCATTTCCGGCCCGAACTGGAGGCGCGGATACAGCAGCAGGCGCGAGAGATGGGCGGCGAGCCGTTGGCGGGGGGATGGGCGCACGATACCGTGAAGAAGGGGCAGTTGGTGGCGCCGGGGCAGTAGAGAAAGGTTGAAAAAGGCTTGTCGCAACATGTAAATAGTTTAGGTTTGGCACATGTATGGCCGGCGTCCATGGGAGCCTTGAATGGAAAGTTCCAATTGCATAATATGGAAAAGTGTATACTCGGTCAGAGATATCGATAGACCACCTCACCGCCGACGCCAGCAATGCTTAGCCACCATAACCTGATCAGACACGAACGCCGAACAAGTCATCAATCATCAAAAAACCGCCCCAAACCGCCCCAAACCGCCCCAAACCCTTACGTACCCAGGATTCAGCCCAACACCTCATTCATTATCCCTTTTCGCCCCCCTCCCTACCCCAAACAAATCCCCACAAACTCATCCCGATCAATCATCCCATCCCCATCCAAATCAAACTCATCGATCATGGCCGCCAAGTCCTCCTCGCTCAACTGCTCGCCCAACTCCCTTGCCACCCTTCTTAAATCGTCCAGCCCGATCTTCCCCGTCCGATTCTCGTCGAACAGGTCGAAGGCGCGCAGGATCTCGTCGCGAGGATCGCGGTTGAGGATCATGGAGGCCATGAGGGTTTCGAAGGTCGGGCGCGGAAGGAGGAGCTTGTTGGTGCCGACGAGGGAGGGGGGGGCGGTTTGGGGGACTTTGGAGGAGGTTTTGAGGTTTTGGGTGGGGATGCTGGGGAGGAGAGGGGTTAGCTAGGCTGGTGGTGTAGAAGGAAGTTGGGGAGAGGAAGCAGAGACGTACCCGCGCGTCGTGAGGATTTGCTGGATCTCGTTTTTCGGTAAATCGAACCCAAGTGCCTTCATCGCAACTTTCAATTCGTGGTAGTCTAGATGTCCATCCCGATCCATATCGAACAAATTGAACTGTCATCCTTCGTCAGCCATGATTTTCCCTCCCCCATCTCGCTCCCCCATCTTCCCCCTCTCCCCCTCCCTCCCCATCCCCCCATCTCTTCCCTTCCGACCACTCAAGAATCCACTCACCGCCTCCTGAACCTCCTCCCTCTGCTCCTCGCTCAAATCCCCAAACTGCACCTGCTGACTCGCCTTCTCCCGCTCCAGCCTCTCCCTCTCCAATCGCTCGCGCTCCACTCGTTCCCGCTCCCGCTGCTGCTGTGCCGCCGCCGCGCCGAGGGTGTGGGATTGCTGGGGTTGCTGCGAGCCGGATGCGATGGCCCCGCGGCCGAAGCCGACGCTGCTGCGCGGTGGGAAGGGTGTGTTGGATGCCATTGGGGTGGGTAGATGGTGGGGTTGGAGGATGGGGGGGTTTGTGAATTGGGGGGATCGAGAGGGTGTGAGGAGGGATTTGGTGGTGGGGAGGCTGGGAGAGAGGAATAATATGGTGGGCGGAATGAAGGTTCTTGGATTGGGTAGACGCGACACGCCGCACGCGTTTTTGGCGCAGATATCGGATCACGTGAATGGCGTGCACTCTTGCAGTCACTAATTACATCTTGAATATCATTGTCGTTCTATTCTTGTATTCTCAAGGTTTTTGGCGCGTCTGGGCAATTGATGAGGTCCAATGCGATCTCCGAGATCATGCGGTGTTGCTGTCGCATTGTTGCCTGTAATTAGGTTCAGGTTAGAAGTACCAACCTCTGTGGCGAACTTCCGTAAACTTTGCTTGTTATCAGTCACGCCACCAGGTCATTTGGCTAAGGAGGCTACCGGAAGAAGCCAGACCATACAGCTAGTCGGACCAACCTGGAGCTTGACTCTCAAACCTCTGTCCTATAAATTATAACCGCTAACTTAGATCATATCACTGTACTGCGAGTATCCCTTAACCAAGGATCGCGCCACTGAGAGTTGACTGTAAGTCAGCGACCCCTGTTTTCGTGCACCCAACCAAGATAGGTAGATTTCTGTAGATCTATACTCTACTCCATCAATCAATTCAACAAAATGAGATGCTATACTGAAAATGCCTCCTGTGAATGAAGTCGCTATACAGGCGTTTCATGATGAAAAATTCAATTCCTTAAACCAATGTGCGGATGAATACGGCATCAAGAGATCAACGCTTCGCTCCCGACTGAATGGCTCAATATCCCACCAGGATGGAGCCAAGAGGTTTCAAAAATTGTCTCCATATCAGGAGAAATGGCTCGTCGAATGGATTATAGAAGAAGAAGTCGCCGCCAGGGCTCCTTCGTACGCAAGAGTCCGTCAAATGGCGGAAGCTATCGCCAGAGAAAATGGAGATGACGCTCCTTGCGGCAACCATTGGACGGAGGGCCATAGCACAGTTAGATTAACCATCAATTGCTCGATTTTAGGAACCCAGTAATTACCTTCTGAATTGTTGGAGCAAGATCGATGGAAGGAGGCCGAAGAGCTGGAGGTGCAAGTGATGGAGGCGTCTAAGAGGGTGCTTGGCGCAGAGCATCCACACACGCTGACCAGCATGAATAACCTGGCGTCGACGTACTGGAATCAAGGCCGATGGAAGGAGGCCGAAGAGCTGGAGGCGCAAATGATGGATACGTCCAAGAGGGTGCTTGGTGCAGAGCATCCAGGCACGCTGACCAGCATGGACAATCTTGCATTCACGGCATTCTACAAATAATTAATACACATTATTTTAATATGATCCCATTTCGCGAAAACCATCATGATCTATCCCGAAGGCATCCCCATAGGGATTCTACGGAAAGATCACGTATCCGTGGTGCCGTCAACTTCGTGGAGACCCAACAACGCAGGCATGGTTTTAACCCATTGTATACCAAAAGCGAGGTCTTTCAGGCGGAGGGGGTCCCGTGGAGGACCGGTATGGATATCATCCATGCCGATCGTGATAGGCGCCGGTTCCCCCCCGGGGAAGACCCCCGTGGGCGCTCCCGACTCATCGCCACCAAGGATATCCACGAGATGGAGAGGATCCTTGAGGAGCTCGATGTCTACGGCAGAACAATCACATGGGATGCCCTTGGTTATGAGGCAGGACTCGATGTTAGCGGAAGAACCGTTAGGAGGGCGATGGGGACGATGGAGTACCACTGTTGTATTGCCTGTAATAAGGCGTGGATATCTAAAGACCTTGCCAAAAGGCGTGTCGATTGGGCAGCCTTTATGAAGGGCCGGTATCCCACAGCATATCACTGGCGGAGGGTCCGTTTCAGCGACGAGTCCCATGCTGGGCTTGGTTCCCAAGGCAAGCTCTATATCATTCGTCGTAAAGGCGAAAGATATTGTAATAAATGTGTGTAGAGAGAAGGTGAAATTGAAGAGAGAGACAAAAAGAGAGTACATGTATGGGGTGCTGCCGGATACGAGTTCAAGTCTGACTTGATATCCTACACAACCCCGACAAATACCATTGGCAAGATGTCGCAACGCGTTTATATCGATTCCGTCCTGAATCCCATTATCAAACCATGGATCCAAAATGGGGATAATTTTGTGTTAGAGGAGGACCAAGACTCAGGCCACGCCCCCGCCAGGACCAAGGAAAACATCGTCAAGCTATGGAAGGAGAAGAACGGTTTAGAACACTACTTTAATTGCGCAGGATCTCCAGATCTCGCGATCATCGAGGATTGTTTTCAACCGATGAAGCAACATTTAAAGAAATTCACCCATTGGGAGCCGGATGAGACCCAACAGCTATTGAAAGAGGGCTGGGATGGGATCAAGCAAGACTGGATTATGGTAATAAACGCGTGGATTCAATGCCACAGAGGCTACAGGCGGTGATTGACGCAGAGGGGCAAATAATTCCTAATATGAAGACCGCTTGAAAGTTAATCGCCAACATGACGTAAATCAACGTATTTCATCATATCTAGACTCATAATAAGTGACTGTACAGGTGGTGATTTGGTGAAGAAGATCCCCGTATTGGTGGTGGGTGCACTTCGGCAATGCGAGGATTTCTGTCCACCGCGTGCATGGACATGGATCGATGAGGTGGATTTGATGCCTTTAACGCCTTAATGCCTGAGATTCACCACTCTCTAAGCAGCCACGTGATACTATTACCCCTGCATGCCAAGACTCCTGTTTGACACACCACGCCTGACAAGGAAGGACAGCTCAGAGGTCGCACCTTCTCTCTCTGCACCGAGTCCTTTCCCCATCACTCGTTCATCAGTGAGCGGAAGTTGAACGCGACAATTCTGCGCAACCCGCGCGCCGCTGTCTGCATCTCGGACTTCCCCTCTTCTATATTCTCTTCTTTTCTATTCTCGCGCCATTTCGTTTTCGATCCGGCCCTATACCGTGACCATATACGCGCAAACCCCATCGGCCAGGGTCAACCGCGAACTTTCGCCTTCACCCGCGCCCACTCTCGTTCCAGGCCGCGCGATCCATTTCTTTCGACGTGACGGCCATTTCGGTTTCGATTTCGGTTCCTTGGATCTATCGTACGCGCGGATAGCTTGGTCGTTGCGGAACACGCGAGAGACGCGGACATTTGGCCGAGCGGAAAGTTATCACCATGGCTTTCGGCGGCTTTGGTAGTGGAGGTGGTGGTGGTGGCTTCGGCTCCAACACCAATCAGTCGACTGGGTTTGGAGGGTTTGGGAGTGCGAATACCAGTAATCAGTCTCCAGGTACGTGGACGATTTCATACCTTTCCCGCCTGCCATCATACTTATCATCGATTTCATTTTGTCGTTTGCAGCAACCATGCCAGTAGCAACAAGAACTGAGAATGTCAACCCAATAGGTTTTGGAGCACCTGCAGCTGGAGGTGGCTTTGGTCAGACTGGAAACACCGGAGGAGGCATCTTTGGCGGTGGCCAATCTAGTACCGGTGGTGGATTTGGCTCAGGCTCAGGTGCGTTCACATGCCCTTCATTCATGCTCACTTTATGTTCGCTTTCACTGCATGTGACTATGAAACAAGTGAATGCCTTGAGATAATGAACCAAGCATTGTCACTTGTTTCACACAGCGCCCTGTCGACTTCAAAATTCCTTCCATCCCCATGATCAATTCAAAACATTGATTCTACTCATCCTCCTCTCCGCAATTCACTTTCCAGAATCAACTATCTCACTACGCTTTGTCTCATCATGGCGGACAGGAAGGTTAGGTTCAACAACCAGCTAACAATATCACCTATTTCAGGGACCTTCGGTTCAAATACTCAGAACACCTCTCTTTTCAACAAACCCGCATTTGGCTCCGGTACAACATCGTCTTCATCCCTCTTCGGTGGTGGGACAGCTACGACCGGTGGCGGATCTGGCTTTGGAGGCGGTTTCGGAAACACCGGGACATCAGGAGGATTCGGCACAGGAACCTCCAACACAGGAGGCGGTGTCTTTGGAGGCGGCCAGAAATCAGCCTTCGGGGGTGGCACTGGTGGCACCAATGCCTTCGGCACTAGTGGGCAAGGAACTGGTACCTTCGGCGCGTCGCCCTCAGCATTCGGAGGTGGCAGTGGGACTGCTTTCAATCAACCGACCGCGAACAACGGGACTGGCCAGACGCAATTCCAAGTCACAAGCGAAAAAGATGGCGCGAGCGGGACGGCACAGTACCAGAGCATCAGCTTCATGCCACCCTACCAAAATTTCTCGTTCGAAGAGCTGAGAGTAGTCGATTACTCACAAGGACGCAAATATGGAAACGAAAATGGCCAAGCCGGCGGCTTTGGGAAATCCACCGGATTTGGTGGATTTGGAGCAGGCACTGGTACTAGTACTAGCGGATTCGGTGCCACCAGTTCTGCAGGAGGTGGCGGAATGTTCGGAACCACAACCACGAACACCAGTTCGCCCTTCGGTGGTGGCCAGACTCAGCAATCGGGCGGGTTTGGTGGTGGATTCGGCAACAACGCTGGTGCTACTGGTACCGGCGGCGGTCTCTTCGGCGCCGCTTCGAAACCTGGCGGCCTGTTCGGCGCAACGCCTGCGACGACGAGTCAACCATCCGGCGGCATGTTCGGTGCGACAAATACCACTACGAGCGGCGGTCTCGGCGGCGGCCTCTTTGGAGCCCAGAACCAGACTCAGAATAAGACTGCGTTCGGAGGAGGCTTTGGAGGTGGTGCGCTCGGCGGCGGCACTGGATTCGGCCAAACCACATCCTCTGGTGGAGGCTTGTTTGGCGGTGCCACTTCCACGGCTCCGGCATTCGGGTCCCAGCAGGGCACGCCTGGTGGTGGCTTCGGAGGCCAGCAAGGCCAACAGCCAACCCAGACTCAAAATCAAGGTGGTATATTCTCTGGATTTGGAAATGCCACCCAGCAACAGAAGCCAGGCGCATTTGGAGCCACGCCAGCCGCCGGAGGCGCAAGCCCCTTCGGCCAGGCTCAACAGCAACAGCCCAGCGGCGGTCTCTTCGGTGCTAGCACCCAGCAACCATCCGGTGGCCTGTTCGGTGCTAAGCCTGCTGCGCCTAGCCCCTTCGGTGCCAGCACTGGAACACAGCAGCCCGGGGCCGGTCTCTTTCAAAATGCCGGCCCTCAGCAACAAACTCAACCCACTGGAGGCTTGTTCGGTGCAACACAGCCAAAGCCAACATTCGGAGCATTTGGTGGAAGCACTGGGACTAGTACTGGCGGCGGTCTCTTTGGAGGTGCTCAAGCCAACACTAATCAACAGCCTGGCGGTCTCTTTGGCTCCCAACAGAATCAGCAGCAGTCTGGCGGCAGTCTTTTCGGGGGATCTCAGCAAAATCAACAGCAGCAACAGCAGCCATCCTCGTTGACCGCATCGCTAATGGACAACCCGTACGGAAACCTCCAACTATTCCAGAGCTTGGCGACACCTGCTGCGAACGTCGGGCCTCTCGCGACACCTTTGTCAAGTTCACAGAAACTTAGGAAGCAAGCGATCCTGCCCCAACACAAGATCAACCCGAATGCTTCGACCCGGCTTATCACACCTCAGAAGCGCCCTTCCAGTTATGGGTTCTCATACTCTACATACGGAACTCCAAGCTCCGCATCCAGCAACGCGAGTCCCGGAGGATTCGGCGCCAGCTTTCTCGGCACTGGAAGCTTTGGTAGAAGTCTTGGGCTAGGCAAAAGTCTCTCGACCAGCAATCTTCGCCACACCTACAACGCGGAGGACAGCCTCCTGGCTCCTGGATTCTTGAATAACAGTCTCAAGCAACACAGCACCGGCGGCGCGAAGCGACTTCAGATCAACCGTGGACTCGACACTCGCCGCTCTCTCTTCGGCCCTGACCGCAGCTTGGAGCTCCAGAGTCCCCTGAAAAAGAAAGTAAGCTTTGATGCCGATGCGGATCCACGAAGCAGTTCTAGCGGAGCAGATTCCATGGACACTCTCAACGGAGCTGTGATCCGTCGGCAAGAGGATAGGCATCCGCCAGCAATCAATGGAGCTAGCTATATGAGGCCACGCCCAGACGCGCGCAATGGAGCGCCGGTTCAACCCCCAATGGAACAGGTTGGCGGCATCACTGGCAAAGAGCTGGCCATTGTTCCGGAGAACGAAAGCCCTCCAACTGCCGACGCCTCAAACCAAGTCGCGATTTCCCTTCAGGTAGACCAGAAACCCGGCACATACTGGACGAGTCCCCCCGTTCAGGCCTTGAAGGGAATGACTCGTGAGCAACTGAAGAATGTTCGCAACTTCACCGTCGGCCGTGTCGGTGTCGGTCACATTGAATTCGGAGATGTGGATCTCTCCAATATCGGTGCCGATCGCATTGCCCCCGGCATCGTTGTCCTTGAGGTCCGACGGGCGACTGTCTATGGACGGGACTGCGGTTTCAAGAAGCCCCCTGTCGGTCACGGACTCAATGTTCCGTCCGTCATCACGCTTGAAAACTCCTGGCCTCGCTCCAAACGCGGATCAGCTCCTGTCCTGGAAAAGAAAGGGTCGCGCATTGAAAACCATATCAAACGGTTGATGACAGTTGAGGACACCGAGTACATGGGGTACGATGTGGACAAGGGTATCTGGCGGTTCAAGGTTCAGCACTACACGACGTACGGCTTGGAATATGAAGACGAGGAGACTGGTGATGGCAAACTTCTGTCCAGTGCTTTCGACGCTGCACCGATGGACACTACTCCTGACAAGCCCGTCCATACACAGGTCTCCGTGGACTCCGCCTCCCCTGACATCTCCATGATGAGCCCTGGGGAGTCTAGCCCTGAAGATACCTTCCAGTTCAAGACCGGCCTTCGCAACGGCGTCCCGGGCGGCTTTAGCGACGATGCTGCCCTGTTCGAGGAATCCACTGCCATTCACGACGACATTCCCACAATGAGCGGTGCCCTTCCTTTTTTAGGTGATGGCTCCGTGCTCTTGCCGGCTGACACGAATCTCGAACGCGACTCGTATCTGGCCTCTGACGGCATGAATTTCGACGTGGATCAAAACATGGCCGGATCCTTCCCAGCGCCCGACAACCAAGCCACGGAGCCCTCTCTCGGATCTCCTCTCCGACTACACGCTCAAGCAAACGGCAAGCCGAAGTCGATCTTGAAACATACTCTACGCGACTTCGACTCTCCGATGGACACGCCAGCCAAGTCGAAGATCGTCATTGGTGCGGACTGGGCAGAGCAGTTGCAGAACACCGTTTCCCCGAAGAAGCGAGATCGACAGGCATTGCGAGATACGCAGGCGAGTGCCCTACGCACGCTCGGTGACGAACCGACGCCAAAGGAACGGGTCGTCTCGAACGGGTCAATGCCGTTCACGACCAGCATCGACATCATGAATTCATTGTTTGGAGGCAATGAACGACCGAATGGGATTATGAAGAAATCAAATCGGCAGGCAGTTGAGGTTTGAACCCCTTCCCCCCACCCAACAGAATCGCACCACGTGCACCCTACCCAATGGATCACATCAGATCACTTCCCCTTCACGCATCACGTCATAAATTGCAGGATGAAAGCCCCCAGTACAGAAGCACAATCATGTATCTAGCATAGCGCACAATACGAAAAGGATATTTGCTAAGACGTTGTTTCCGTAGTCTCCCGCCTCGAAGAAATCCAGACCCAGTGACCGATCCGCCGTAGACACCGCCAAACACCTTGATCGTTCCTTCTCCGGAAATACGTCTTGGAACCCTGATGGGACGCTTGTTATGGTGGGATCGTTGACCGGACATTCGATTGATGGGATCCTTCGGGATATCAAGGCGCCTGTGCGGACGGCGCAGAGGGATATTCGCTTCGTGAAATTCGACACCGATCGAGAGGTCAGGGTTCATTGATGCTGTTCGCTGGGTTGAATACTAAAACTACGCAGAACTTCATTCTTAATGTCACCGATCCTCGCACGCGCGACTTTATGAGCAGCAACAAGGTCAATGATGCAATCACCTTTAAAAGCTGGGCTAAAGCAATCATCCCCAACACTCCCGCTCGCACGCACGAGTACCAAACCTGGCGACTCGCAAGCATCCTGTTCGACGACATCACAGATGCGCTCCCGACAACCTTCAACCCCGGACACCAGCATAACATCTTCATGCGGATCCGGAAAGACAACCTCGCGCAGTTCTGGAGGGAGATGGTTCGCCAAGACATGCAAGAGCATCTCGCGGAGGCGGAAGATGCCGAGGAACGAGCGCTGATCTACCTCTCCGGCGGCGACATCGTGCAAGCTTGCGCGGTGCTGCTGGAAGCCCGGGACTACAAGTTGGCGACCATGGTATCCCAGCTCAGCCGACCCAGTGCCGAGATGCAGGATGCTATTTCGCAGCAGTTGGAGACGTGGCAGAAGCAGGACACGCTTTCGGAGATCAAGGACTCGATTCGAGCGATCTATGAACTGCTTGCTGGGCATACCTGCATGTGCGACGGTGGTCACAACATCGGGGCGGAGAATAGAGCCGCGACGTTCAATATCGCGGAACGTTTCCATTTGGACTGGCGTCGCTCGTTCGGGCTGCGATTGTGGTACGGTCTTCGTTATAATGACTCCATTGAGATGGCCGTGCAGCAGTTTGCCGAAGAGCTGGGTTCAAAACAGGAGCAGGCGACTCCTGTGCCGTGGTATGTGGAGCGCCAGACTGGGTTGCGTTGGGAGGATCCGAACATCAACGAGCGCGAGGACCTGCTGTGGGGACTGCTGAAGTTGTTTGCAGGACAGCGAGTCCCGATGCCTGGCCTCCGGTTGGACGAGATCCTTGCGGTCGAAAACGTCTCTAGCAACCCATTGGATTGCCAGCTTCCCTACAACATGATCCACATGCTTCGTGCCCGGGACATCACTGCCACAAGCGCTGATAGCGACAAGGAGAACCGCAACGCCCCGTCCGCCATAGCACCCGAGAACGAAGACGACACGGCGAACAAGTTGTCCCTACTAATGTACACCTCCCTCCTCAACTCTCCAGTCCCTTCAACCGACAAGACTAATCTGGCACGTGCAACCTGGCGCATCGCCCTCTACCCCCTCATCAAACTCACCGAGCCTCTCCGCTCCACCTTGATCCAAAACCACCTGGTCCGCTTCGCCGGCGAGATCCCGACCCTGGAAGCCGACCCCTTCTACAACCTCGCCACCTCCCACTTCAACATTCCCCGCGACTGGATCTTCGCCGCGCTCGCCACACACGCCCGCTCCGTCCAGCAAGCCCCTGACGCGCAGGCCCACTACCTTATGCGCGCGTCGCTCTGGACGGAAGCGCACGCCGTGCTCTGCGCGGACGTCGCGCCGAAGGCGATCATCGAGAAGGACTACGACCGCATCCGGGAGATCCTAGGGACATTCGTGGACGCGGGCGGGAAGGACGCGGTGGACGGGTGGGAGACGGGCGGGGGCCTGTATTTCAATTTCGTGTACCTGACGGATCTGATCCATGTGACGGCGGCGAGCGAGCGGCGGGAGCGGCGAGAGTTGGTGGCGCGGTTGGGGAACGCGTTGGGTGTTGTGGCAGGGGAGCAGAGGGGGTGGACGGCGGTGAGGAGGGCGGCGGTGAGTGAGATGGCGAGGGTGGTTGCGGGAGAGGTAGAGCGAGACGAGGTGAGTTTACTTTTCTGACGGTGGGTCGTTCGGGTGCTAATGACAATTCTCAGGCTCTCGCCCAACGGCGCTCGCAGTTCTTGCGGTATCCGCTTACGGAAGACGCTACGTTGCGGCATACGATGGATCTGAGCTTGTCGTATTATAAGTCTCTAATGGCGGGAGGATGATAATTATACCGTGCGATCAGAGAATGGGATCTTGCATACCTGGCTTCGCGTACATTCTGCTCATCAGACGTGCTTGCGAGCACTGCATACCTTAGACGAGCGGCGCCCTGGTTTGGTCATGATCCAGGGTGACCGACATTCGTTCACCTCCTTGATGCGTGAACGCAGCATCCGGCTCCGTCGATCGGGCTGCGGCTCCTTGCATTGGTGTTTGGGTAGACCTTAAAAGTTATATTTGTAGCATAGCCGACTGAATGGGATGGATCTGTAAATTCTGTATCGCTACTGTGTCCATTTTAGACGCATGCCCATCGTGGTTGAAGTCCATCCTACTGGTACGGATTGCCAACGATGCGTGTGCTGTCAACAGTTGCATGACATAACTAATTGCCAATCTCAGGCGATGATGCCACCCATCTCTTCTTACCTGGTATCAGTCTGAAAGACTAGCAATTCGACTCGTTACACAATCTTTCCGAAAGCGACCTCATGAACTAAAAAGTGCCCAATAACATGAAATCTGACTAGCTCTGTAGTGGCGGCATACTCGGTCTATCAGCCATCCCATAGTCATTCCCATCCGCCATTGAAAATCAATCGACGAATAAAGTACATCATCTGCATGATATTTCTGCTTAAACTATTATCAACTCTTTGAAGGCTGTGCTCTGCTTTCATTTGTACTGGTAGAAAACCGAAGGATCTACTGGCTGTACTGATCTTCTGGGTTCTCCAAAGCTAACTTTCGTCTTGTCACTGTCTTCAAAGCGCTAAGTTCGAGAGCTGAAATACTGGTGGGCATGTCGGTGGTCAAGGCGGATGGGAGGATGAGCCGAAGTTGGAGGACCAGGAGACTGAAAGGCCATTGGCGGTAGTAAGCCATTTGTTGGCAATACGACAGAAGCGCCCTACACCGTAGTCCCAGGGGTGACATCAGCAATTTCAGTGGCAAATTAGCACATGAGTACCAAGTTCGCCGTACAGATTTACAGAAGAGAGAATACACGGCACGTCAGGTATAGTCAACCGCCGCTATAACGATTACCGCTACAGCGATATTCGCGTTATAGCGATTAGATTCCCTGCACGGATTCTCAATCAATGCTGCCAAGAAAATTCATTTTAGCGATATCCGCGTTATAACGATTGGATTCGCCTGTACGGATTCAATCGTTATAGCAAAGGTTGACTGTAGTATATATAGCCAGGCGAGTAGCACAAGACGCGGAGTTTGGAATAGAGTATTTGTTACTTGAGCAGAATGCTTGGTCCAAGTCATTGCGATTCCTTGAGATATAACATACCCACCCAGTTACAAACACGTTTGACTTCATACCTAATGGGAATGCAGCTATACTCTCCACTAATTCTAGAAATAATTGTCGATGACACGGTCTGGATGCGCAAGGTCTGCGATTACCAAGTTCCATTAATCTAAACCGAAGAGAGAGAAGGAAGAAATCTCCCAGCGCCTCTATGCGCGAGATATAAACTCTTCTCTCTACTATCCTAACACAGCTCAACACAGCTCCTTAACACAGCTCCTTAACACAGCTCCTTCACACAGCTCCGTCCTAACATATAGCTCCCATATGACTATCTCCTTGATAATCCTCCATGCCATCCACTAGCCACATCCCTGTGGCGTCAGCCATACTCAAGGGCCCAGGCCACAGGCCCGGGACCATAACA